AGCTCTGCCTACTCTGCTTATTGCTGTTCCTGACCTTACCCAAGAGCCAGTACACCACTGCTTATTTGAAGCAGTTGCTTAATTGCCTAAAAGATGACAGGCATGATCTGTTCACGCAGGAAGAAATGACATATAATAACAACAATTTCAAAAAGGCTTCAAAGGCATTCTGTCCCACCAAGGTTCAAAAAAGGTAGAATCAGCTGACTCTGGATAACATAAAACATACGAGAATTTACAAAGTAAAATGGGTCTGCCAATAGCCAGATTATCTAGAGGTCAACAAAGCAACTCCCAAAACAGAGAGAAGGGAAAGAACTTTCAAAGAACTTGGAACAGAGTATCAAGAGATCCCAATTCCTGATCCACTACTATGGTTATCATTCTTAAACACGAGGCTGCTTAAGGAACAGCTCTTCAGCCAGGAGGCAGTGAATCAACACTACAGGTACCAGGAAGCTTGGGAGCAAAACCATATAGCAGACAAACTATGTGCCATTTCCGATCCTCTCTCCACCTGTCTATCATTCACCCCTTTCAATAAACTTTCATTGCTGTTGCCTGCATTTAAAAGTATTCTTATAAACATTTTTTAAAAAAGTAATAATTAAAAAACTTCTTTCTTTTACATGTATCTTAACCTGATTTGTGTGTCAAAGGTACAACATTCCTGTGGTTATGAAAACTCTGAGAACTGGGATACTGGAATGCTCTCATTACCAGAAGCATCCCAGTGCAGGACCACAGGCAGGTTAGCGACTGGTAATAAGTTACTATGTCACAGAAAGTCTCTTTTTATGATGAGCGTTAGTTACAGAAGCTTTCCAGTAGCATTAGATTTGCCATGAAACCACATAAACTTGAGGTTTGGCTGGATATAGAACAAAAAGACTAAAGACTGGCATTTTCAGGCTAAATTAAGTATTTTTACAAATACTTTACAGTAAGCAACTGAGACCTGAGTGTAGCACAGACCATTAAAAATAATGGGATTACTAAATGGTGACTTAGACTTAGAAAAACCACCTTGACTTAGAAAAACTTCTATCTAAAGTGTAGACTACATGGCATCTAACTGTAATAGTATTTTTCATTAAAACACTTTCTACTAGGTCATTCAGGTTTAAAATAATTCCAAATGAACAGGGTATCATGTGAAGCAACTACTCTATTACTGTGCATAATAAAGAACAGCTGTATTTAAATGAGTTTAGAAAGAACAACCCAACCTGAGAATGTAGTGCTGTCTATATGCTTCATAGATCTTTAGAAAAACACAAATCCCAGAGGCATCAATATCATCCAAGATCCAGCCACAAAAGCTCTGTTAATGCCAAGCAATAGTCTTCTAGACTATTTACGATCAGGCTTAAGACATTAACCAGTTTATTAAAAAAACTGTGTGGGAGAAATGCTTGATGAGCAACACTTTTTCTTCAATAACAATGTAACATCTATTTTCTCTTTTTTCCAGCTTGTGAGGAGGTCTATTTTTATCCCATAAGGTACCAATTTTGGTGCACATACCAGATAATTAAAAACATTCTGAGACAAGCTGAACTACAGGCTAATTTATATTGGCATTAACAAAGTTGCACCTGCTCATGCCAGCTTTGAAGCTGGATGTCTCCCGTTCAGATGTTCTTCAGCAGACATTCCTGAAGTTCACCAGTGTTATGTCAAGTGGAAAGACAAAGAGTAATGGCAAAAACTTACGGATTCCAGTGTTCTTTAGAAATCCTATAAAGGCTGGAAAACATGATGGGAAGTATAACATTTGAATTCTCCTCTATCAAGCTCATGATGTATTCGTTATTCCAATAATACAGCGCTCTTTCCGCCACCTTTGAGTCAAAGGAAGAAAACATTAACAGGAATTCAGATACCTATAATCTTATAATTTTCTGAAGGAAAAACAAATCACAGAGAAATTTCACAAAGATGAATTAACAGGAATCATTCACTTCGGAATTAATCAGTAGCATAACATGCATTAATGGGATTAAGTTTTTATCCTATAATTCAGATCCCACAGCATCCAATCTCTTTCCCCTGAGCGATATGTTGTTACTCACTGAAGACCAGGTGCAGACACTGCATTAATGCTGCAGCTGTGGAGGGGAAGGGAGAGCAGACAGACTTCCCATCGTCCCTCTCCCTCAATCCCGAGACTGCAGTTGGAAGGAAGAGAGCAGTGCTGGGATACCAGAGGAAGGAGTGAGGGAGAGGCCCAGTAGCTGGGCTGAATAAGGGGTAGAGATCTGAAGTGTGGGGAAGGTACCAATGATAGTCATCACCTGGGGGAGGAGAGGGGAGGGTGGGATGGAAAACACTGAGCTAAATCATGCTAAAAACAAATGTAGTCCAAGAAGATCATAAAAGAATCACATATGCCTTTGTGCCAGGATACGTCACTTAGCTTAACATGGAGACACTACAGGCCATGAATCCTATCTCCTCTTCACATATGATTCATCTTAAATTCCATTCATCCCCCTCTTCCTGTTATGTCATATTAAGAAAACAGGCTATGGGTTCTAGCACCTCTAACCAGACGTGTCCTTGCAGAAGGAACTAAGTAGGAAAACAAGAATACTGCACTAAAAAAGGGAGCAAATACATGCTACATGGTCTATCAGTCTGAAGGCCTTACAGGGAGTACCTGTCACCTACAGTCAGAAGGGCTCAAAGTCCACTCAGATACAGTTCAAGGCCTTACGTGGCTCAGAACAGCAGGTTCTGTGCCGTGAGCACAGGTACACCCAACAAGTTATTCATGGAGCTCAGACCTAAACTTCCACTGCAACATACCCTCTTCCGCAGAAATCCAGAGACAAGTAATTCAAGCCACATAACATACAATAGTATTTACACCTGGGGGCGTGTTACATTTGGAATTGAGACTGTACATTCCTACACAAACAATAACCTCTACCACTGACCTGGAAATGAGGGCTAGAGACACACTTGGCAATTTGTTTAAACAAGGGTTCTTGGATTTTGACAAACTGTGATGGTTCGATTACATCCAAGATTTCCTCCAACTCTCCTAGGAACATGACCTAAAGACAAGGAAGGAAGCATTGAATATACAACCTCTGAATCATCTTGATCAGCAAAATGCTGGTAACCCTCCAATTTTACTTCAGGGAAACATGGAAGTCTCAGTAGGTCAGCAAGACCTTCTCTCAAACAATGCTGTCAGTGCTACCTTTAGTCAACCATGCTTATTTTCTCATTTCCAAAGCAAAACCAATCTTTTGCAGAAGAACCAGTGCTTTTTTTTTTTTTTTTGGTCAACAGAAACCAGGATCATCAAACTTTTCTCTTCCTAATCAAAACCGTCAAAAAAGCACAAAATTCATGTGTGGAACATCACCAACAAGAATTAATACCAAGTTTCACCACAGCATGTGCTATCAGCTAAAGACTCCCTGCCTATTAAACTGAAGCCCAAAATAAGTCTTAGGTTTTGCTCATACTAGCCTATCACTCACCTCTTTCTGACTGCAGGTTTTTGGCCAGAACTTCATTAAACCTCTAATGACCTAAATTAGAGGGGGGGGAAAAAAAAAAAAATTAGGGTTTTTACTTTTCACTCAACAGGGTAAGCCATTTATGATGAAAACGAAAGGAAAAGTATGAAAGAAATACTTACTGGTTCTGTGAGTGAGGGATCTTTCTCCAGAAACTGTACTATGCAATACGCCAGCTGCGAAGAGGTAAAGATTTAAGAAAATTCAGTTAGAACATTTTTATAAAGAAGCCACATAGAAATACTTTTTTTTTTTTTTTAAAAAGAGACTCAGGCAAGATGCTATACAGCTTGCTCAATCTGCATCCAGTTTTAAAAACTGAGATGCATAGTTTGCCCTGTGCAAATCCACACCAAGTTCAGTTCCTAAGAAACAACAAAACACATTACCAAAAAAAAAAAATCAGGGTGCCAATGTAGCCTATAAAGTAAGATTCAGAGCAACTTGGAATTCTAAATACAGTCATGCAACCAATGTTTTGAAGCTTCTGTTATTTACTGAAACTGTGCCTTTTTACACATTTTTTTACATCATCAAAACCATGAAAACTCTTGCAAGATGAGCCAACACAGCTAAAACCTGGAATTACATATTTAGAAAGCACAGCTTTAGCAGCATAAGAAAAACTGCACTACCTGAAAATCACAGAGAAAGGCAATAGGTATCACCTATCAGAGGAAAAATTGGATCATGAAAACTGAACGTATACAAGGATATATGAAAGCAAAATGGAGTATTAAGAAATCTGTGAGGAAGAATGTTAAAAGATTATGCAAAAATGTGGGTATTAGTATTCAGAAAGTTGCCAGGGTGAAGAAGAGCCTCGACAGCACAAGACTAAGGAAACCCAAACATCTTCTTGGGAAAGGGAATGGGAAGAGAAACTTGTGAGAATGAGAAAATAGCAGAGAGAAAACCTAAAGAGCTATTTTAATAATAAACTAAATCCCCAAAATATAACAGATGTATATTACACTTTTAATTAGCTAATGACTACAGAGGCAAGACATTTATCACACAAAGTACATTAAGTGAATGAAAAAAAAAAAATCTACTGAATTTTTCCACATTTCAAAACTTTCCCCACCCGTTTTATGTACTACACAACTGCATTTCCAAAGCAACCTTACCAAAAAAAAAAAGACAAAACAAACAAATAAACCCACCCACACCCAAAAACCCCTGAAATTATTCTAAGATTTTTATAATTTCTACCTGTGCATGGAAGAGTGATAAACTCCTGACAGTATGTAAGGGAATCAGCACCTTCACCAGAAACTGTTTATGCTCTGCCTTAAGAGGTAAAGCAAAACCATTGATAATACTAGAAATCAAAAAAGAAATATTTGTTAGTGTTATGATCACAGAAAACATTTCTGACGTCTGAAGAAGCACTTCCTAGATTATAGCAATTTAGCAGTCAGCACCTGTTTACAGATCGCAGGCTCGTGCCATTTGTAAACTGCTGCTGACTTTACTCCTGCTTTACATTGGCAGTGCAGTACATACCTCGGTAGCAATTCAGCTCCGACTTAGGAATAATCATATAAACAGCTTCACAAACCTGTTGCCAAACAGGTAAGACCTCGACTATGTGGTCTGTAAATTCATGTAAGCAACGTGTTGTTGAGTAATTAATTTAGCAGAATTAGACTTACTGAAAATACTCACACTGTTAGTGTGGACAAAAATCTGCAGCATGTGAGGATGCCGGGCACAAAATTTCACACACACACGCTCAATCCAACACTTTTGGCTGTAACTTGCATCCAGTTATATACTCTTGGCAAAGATGTGACAGATTTGCTTAAAGATGAGCACGTGCACACATCTGTTTTCAGAATCAGGGCTTATAGTAATACTTTTTCCAAATCTGACACTATTCTGACATGTCCAGAAGGGAAGTTTCAGACAGATAATAAATAATAAAGACTCGTTTACCTTCCTAAAATTTCCAACAGCTCAGCTACGCCATTGAAGTGTTCAGTTTCATAAACAAATCTAAAAAAAGAAAAGTTAAATATAAGGAACATTATCAGTTACCTAAAATTTTCGTAAGAGAAAAGTATCTTCTCCCACAACTTACCGTAGAAAAATATTATTAATCTGTTTTCGGATAAATGCTCTAAGACCCAGAAACTTGCCATAAATTCTGTGCAAGACTGTTTTTAGGTAGTCTCGTTCTCGAGGGTCTTCGCTGTCAAACAGCTCCAACAGCTGTGGTTAAGAGAAAAAGAGAACTGAAACAGTAGACATTTGACAAGTATGACACAGACACTTCTAATATAAAGTTAAATTCATGAAACCATGTGCATGCATGAATGTGACATCTGTGTTACCTAAGGAGTAGAACGCAGTACTAAAAAAATCTCTTGTAACCTCAGTACATCACTAAACCCAGTTTATTAGTTTCTACTTCTGACCTAACAAAACTTTGGAGATCTTCAAGCAACAAATAAACTTTTGATTAACTGGCTCCAAATGGCTGCCTTCTTTCTCCCTAAAAACAAACAAAACAAATTCCTAGATGCTGTCATGTCTACAAAACAAGACAGTTTGCCTCTTACCATCCACCATTCCTTCACTCTGCAGAACTAAAACATCTTCGTTTGTTCTAATACTTTGTTCCCACAACACTGTATCAAGGTCACATTTTTCTAATGACTTGTGATTTATATGCTGAGCTCCTAAGCCTTCCTGGTAGACTGTATGGCCTTCACGCTGTGGAAAGACTCAACAGTGAAGTCTGTGACAGCAACAGATCTGCTGTTATGGGTTCGCCACTAATTAACACAAACCAAAGCATCAGGAGGAATCACTCCTCCAGGTTCAACAAAATGATAACTCCAATATCCAGTTAGAGGAAAAAAAAAAAAAAAGGCCCACTTTTACTAAGTTTACTCTTAAATCAGATTTTAAAACAGAAAAATGATTATGTGGTACCAAGGCAAAAGAGAATGCCATCCGGTGTCTTGTACTGTACAAAGCAGATCCCAGAACACTGACATCTGAATTTGCCTGTAAGAATCAAGGCATGACATGAGCAGCAAAAATCACCTGCAGAGCTTTGTTGGATTCCCCTTGAATCCTCAACCACAAAAATATGAGCTTCTCCCCATCCCTTCTTCTTCATGTTTTTCGACACCACGATTTTAGCAATTCTGGTGGGCATTTGGAATAAATTAGGAGGTAAGTTATTTGGAAAAAAAAAAAACACAACAAAAAAAAACCACCAAACCCTCAACCACCCCCTTCACCTCCTAAAAGTACAGAAAATAAGGAAGTTGAAGTAGTAACCATAAGCAACCAGCCTCTCCCTTGCACCTATCTTGCAAGAGAAATGTAAACAGTTTGACAACAAGGTCTTACCAACGTAAAAGACGTTGGCAGAAAACTGTAACAGGAATGGTAGGAAACAAAATGAATTAACACCTGTTGTAAGTAGCTATGTCAGTGTATGTATAGTACCTGATCTCAAACTTCTACACAACTTTGAGGAGGGGGAAAAGACAGAAGACAGAAAAAGATTAAACACTGTTAAACTGTTTGGGATTTTGCTTTCTAACATCCAGGTTTAGGGCTGATGTATGTGTTCTTCATTGTTTTGGATGTTTCTGTAGCTGGTAATGAGATCCCACTATCTTTTCCTTGCAGTAAGAATCTGTTTCCTCATGAAATTCTCAGCACAATGAGGTTTGTGAGCTGCCCTCCAGAGGTTACAAACACATTGCCTTCTTCAATTAGTTCTACAGTTAAATAAATAAATAGTCACCTCATCCTTCCCTAAATAGCAAATTTCACCCAAAGACAGCAAACAGCTGGAAACACTTATGTTTTTCATTTTCTTACTGGATTGCTTTTAGGAGCAGAATATTTATATTTCCAGCTCTGTTATACAGATCCTCTGTGGAAACACTGCTGCACTAAGAGTTAGTCTTTAATTAAAAAAAAAAGGCAATTATTTTGATATGTCCAATTTGTTATCAGGTTTCAATAATAAGGTCTTTATTTTTATGGATAAGCTGCAAAACTTCCATAATTTACGTGATTATTCTGACACTAAACATACATAGGAAAGGGAAATCAATTTTCCAAAATAGCAACCTACATAACACAGACACTTGTGGATCTATTTGAATCATACTGTCTCCTAGCAACCACTGCCAAGCATTTCGGACTGTATTTAAGCAGGATTTAGAAATGAACAGTTACACTGTTAAGTACACCATTTTATCAAAAGCTGAAGGCCAGGAACACATCTGTATTCAAAAAAAAAAAAAAAACCAAACCAAACACCAAAAGCAAAAAGCATGCAAAGAAGATTGAAAAATGCCCATTTAAAAAAACTATCATTACAGTTCATCAAATTAAAAAAACCCAAACCATTAACTTAGAAAAAGGTGATTTCAAAGACTGTCATGCTTGGGTTGTCACTGCCATGCTTGATGTTCTGAAGTCACGAGTGGTTTCCTATGTAAGGGACCTTTAGCCACGGACTCGTAGGCGGCACTGAACACGCACAAATACAGTAAGACGTAGAAGGACACCCCAGCTCTTACAGGCTAAACACACACACACATACACAGAGAAATATATCTACGTGTATATATATAGAGAGAGTTCAACAGAACTTTGTAGAAAACTGAATTTTCAAATGACACCTACATAAAAAAGTGTCACCTAACCACATGGCAAGAATTTCTGAATACTTAGAATTCTTTTGAACTCTTAATTGTTGTACCATACATTTCAGACAAGTAGGTTTCAAAATCCCACACTTCCTTTTTCCAGTAGCTATCATTCTTTCATCTAGTTTGATCAAAGACTAACAGGATAAAAAAAAATAGTTCTTTTAGACGCATTCTCCTGTGCCAAACTGTAACAGGGTGGAGTGTCCTGAAAGGGCGAGTGGGATGCCACTAGTCATGACCAAGTTCAGCCGCCCATAACGGGAGCATCTAGGAATTATTTTCTCTGGATTTTGAAGCAGAACACAAGCATTCCTCCTAACGCAATCCTGCTAGATCTAAAGAAAATGAAACCAGTCTGGAAGAACCCGTCAAGAGCTATTCCCCCTCATCCATATTCTTGCATCTCCACTGGGTATTGTATGATACCGCCGTGGTTGGCGAGGAT